ATTAATCATTAAAAATAAATGTTTGTTTTGACATAATATGTATGTATTGTATATATTTATTATGTATATATATGATACACACCAAGGTTATTATAGTTAATGAAAACGTTAACTGAACTAAAAATAAGAAACGAAAGTATTTTTGAAAACTAGAACTAACTGAAACTTTATTTTGTACATCCAGAACTGAAACTAACTAAAATTATAGCAAAAGTGTCCTTCGTTTTTGTCTTTGTAAATATATTTAATACTTAAGCCTACTCTTTGACTTTTAAAAAAGTTAAAGTATTACTTTAACACATTTGTGCCCAATAATGGGTTTTATTTCTGTATTTGTGATCTCAATCGCGAACAAATCGTTCTGTTTAACCGGATCTTGTAAGTGAACCGGTTTAACAAGTTCACTAAATCTAATTGAATCATTTGAAATGATTTGCGTCTATAGTAAGGACTTTATTTTTAACATGCCTAAGTTATTCAGTTATCAGAACAGTACACTGAGATCAGATTTGAGAAGTGGTGAACAGTATATAATACTGCACATGCGCAATTCAGCAGATGGTGAACTGAACACAAATAGTACATGACAGCCTGCTGTGATTGAACTTAACTTGAACAACCGTAGCGCGGGTACACCGAGGGCTTAAATGAGAGCATCTGGCGAGAAATTTGTAATGGAATTCAAATAAGTGAAACATGTTTTAGTTGGGCTGCAAAACTTTTAAGAAACCTTTCAGATAAAGGCAGTGTTTTAACTGACTGAAATTATAATTGCTAACTACATATTTTTGGTATGTTGAGTCCAAACATGGGAGGATTGTCACAAAGATCTGGTTCACGTTAAAGATCCAAACTTCCCTACTGTGTATCTAACCACTAAAGCAGCCTTGCAAACATATTACACTTAAGGCTGCTATCCTGTGGGCTAATGTATTTAAATTTGAGAATGGGTAAATGGTAGTGGTAGATGATATTGGTAATGTGTCCTCTGAATACATGTTTCAAAAAATGTATGGTTGAGTGCATTGTGATATAGTCTAATGATTTTGAATCTTGCACCTAACAAATATCCTTATTTTAACTTGACTTGACTTCATACACAGTCCACACACACTTAAATTATGTCAAAACTATTTTTTTATTTTAGATGCAATTAATCACGATATATTTTTGGTCAGCACTAAATAATGATGAAAAATAATAATAATAATCATAATAATTTTTGTTTGATTGCGTAATGAAGCTTTTTGCTATTGATGGTGTAGTCTGTTAATGCCCCTGTGACATTTCAAAAATAATTACACACTTGATTGTAACTAAGTGTCTGTAAATAAACCTCCTACAGAGAGCAGCTGTTTTAATATAGAGTCGGCTCACTTCCTGCTCATAACATTGTCCATTCCTGTCTGGAGAGTTTCTCGGAGTTCCACTGTTGTAAAGTCATCGCTATATCCATCAGATGATTTCACACTCTGGACTCAGCGAGAGCCTATAAGCAGGACATAATAGGCCTTCACACGCCAAAACCATTAGAGCCAATCACGGTGCTCCAAAAGAGCAAAAAAAGCCAGCCGAGCGATGGCACTAAGAGTTTATTTTCACAGTTGTATGTTTTCTCTGGCACTCTTTTAAAACACCCCGATGCGATATCTCTCTCAGTTCTCCGGCGAAATGACCTTTCCGTTTTAATGCCGTAATGATCCGGAGCAGTGAGGGAATTCGCTGGGAGACGGGAATGGAAAACACTGTCTATTTCACTTAAAAACCTAATTTATGTTGCAATTAAAGGCTGAAAGGAGCTTGTTTCTCCCCTCTGGCTGGCTGAATAGACGAGGCTATATTTCGCCCCCTTATCATGCGGGTGACTCCTATTGGCCACCCCGTCACAGGAGAGAGCTTGATATAAACAAGAGATTGCACTGACATCCAGTAATCAATATTAGGATGGCTTCAGTACCAAACATCATTTGTCTCGGCCTCCGTTCTTTTGACCAAACGAAGCATTAATTTAAATCATAAATCTGCGAGTGATTTAAATCCCGGAATGAGAGGCCCGCCTGCCTTTAATGATTTATTTTCTACATTTCTGCGAGCGAGAGATTTGTCCATACGCGCTGACAGGTCACCTTCAAACGCCAGGGGTAGACTGTTCATCACCATGCAGACTAGCATCTCATCGCTGCGAGTAAATATTAAAGTAAAAGAATCCAATTGATTGTGGATGGGCCGGAGAGGCGTCGCGGCCATATATTTCACTCAGAGCTTCTAATGCCTCTCCAGTTCGGCTCCTCCGCTCACCGCTGGGCCTGGAATTATTATTCTTCGGGGAGTCTGCATGCTCAAGGTTACAATTTAAATTGTAAAAAGATAAAAACACTTTCTTATTAGCCCCATTGCCGCAGCCTCGCCTATTGCGTTTCGCATTTATCTTTATTTCGGTGACCTCGCGGCCTCCCGCCGCTGTTCGCTGTTGAACGACCTCAGCTCTGTGCGGCTTGCTTTCGATAAATCTGCTTAGAGCGCAACGTGTTTTGCCAAAACTCCTAGTGTCAAATGCAGCTGGGAAATCCTCGACGCGGGGTGGATATTCACAATGGAAATCACACACACACACACACAGTTCAGCTCAGGGATTATGGTAACTGAATCATTTGTAATGGATTTGTGGTTTAATATAACAGTGTAATTTCCACACACACAAAAAATGGCTTTAAGTAATGTTGCAAAGAGAGAGGAAAAAATCGGAATGTATCTGAGAAACGATTAATTGGAGCCGGGGACATTCAAAACCAATTTTCTTCACCAAATTGAATTAGCGGCTCGCTTAATAGCTATTAGCTTTGGGATAAAGTGCTCATGGATGCATTTGATGTGTAGCTACTTTAAAAGTGCATTACCTGCTAATGATGAATTTGGAATCAAGCAAACAAACTGACTGCTCAACAGAAGATTACACAAAGCTTTCTGCTTTCCTTGTAGATTTGGGAGCTTGCGGTTTTAATCTTCATTTCAGTGAGTTAAAGGACACGCTGTAGGAATTCTGCATTGGCAAATAGAATGAATTATGTTTACTTTTATCACAGCAAATCACTTAGTCCTTATAGGGATATGTGAATGAATGTGTATTAACTATTTGAACTGACTGTTGTATGATGATGTACAGCATTGAACATATTCATTTTGGCTCCCAAGGACAAACAGTTCTTTTTTGTTCATACAGGTATACAGTATAAGGTTTTTAAATTATGAAATTTATATAATGTTTGAAGGTGCTTAATGTAAGAATTTTTATTAGCTTTTTATTTGCAATGTTTAAACAGCTTACAAACAGAAAAGGAGGTCTGTTTATGAAAGTCTGTAGAATGATATTTTATTAGGATTCTTTGTTGGAAAAATCAAAAGGTGTGATACCAACTGTACATGCACTCCTTAGAGCTTCTCTTCTTTTCTACGACACGTGAAAGTAATGCTTGTAATGTTTAGAATAATGTTTAAAGAACTGTTTGCTAAAGGAATGTCAATGCTGTTAATTCAACAGTGGTTATTTCAACTGCAGTCTCAAAGAAAAAAAAAAAACTGACCAAATATAGTCTATAGTTTCAAATGTGCTTAATAAACACTTATCATATTGTTCTTGTAATGACCTCATCTGATGATATGATGCTGTGAACATTTCAACAAAAATATTGCAAAATAAATATTTTCAATTTTAATCATACTAATAGATGTTTACTTAGGATAATATTGCTCTAGGTTTGATTAAATTAATGCATACATGATAAATAAATTACTAGTACTACTACTACTATTAATACTAATACTAATAATCATCATCGTCATCATCCAAATCAATAAATATTAAAAATCTTTTTGAAGTGTTACAATTAGATAAAATAATAATGTTCAGAATAATTTTGAAAGAGTCGTTCGCTAAAGTAATGGCAATGTGGTTAATTCAACTGTAGTCTCACAAAACCAGACCAAATATACAGTAGTCTAAAGTCTCAAATGTAATCAATCATTAAAATGTACTTGTAAGTTCTCATCTGTTGACATGATGCTGTGAACTGCAGAGTTTGTGCAGACACATTTATATAACTGTGACCCGCTGCTTTCTTGACTGCTGTTTTTATACCTCTGTCATCCAAAAGAAAGAGCTAATATTAACAATTTTATCAAAATGTCCCTCTCAGGAACATGGGCACTTCCTAGATGTAATCAGTGCAATGGTATTTTTAACTTTTATTTTTTGTACTTTTAAGCTGTGAAATTATTTTGTTATTTTATTACATTTTGCGTCATTATGTGCTATGTACAGTTGCAGAGAGAGCTTAATGTGCACACGCAAACAGTTGATAAAACACGCTGCATTTTCTCACAATGCAAACTTTTTACGAAAATGCGCTGCATTTTTTCACAACACAATGGAAATGTTTCAAAGACACCCTAAAACAAAATGGACCCGGCTATAAAGGTTATGTATATTTAGATTAATAAATACTAAAGACACAGGAATCGGGATATTAAAATAAGCAAACAAAAAACTCACCTTTATAAAGATCTCCTACATCTTCACTGAGCAATAGTCAAGGCACAGCGGCATCTGTCACATTTTAGGGATTCCTTGAAACATTTCAGTCATGTTCTGTTCTTTTCGTGTTGTGAGAAAATGCAGCGTTTTCCTAAAATGTTTTTGTTGTGAGAAAATGCAGTGCGTTTTTAAAAAACTGTGTTTGCGTTGTGAGGATTTTCGGCATGTGTGCTGTCAAACTGATGAAGATCTTTTCTTAATTTGCTGGTGTTTTTTGTAATTGCTTGTGTTTTCTTAAATCGCAGCACGTTAAGCCCTCTCGGCCACCATGGCTATGTGCTCTACTATATGCACTAGCAAAAAGTTGCAGGCTGCAGTTCACTAAATGGCCACTTGTGTCTCCAGTAAAAGAGACTGTAAATGTACAGTAGATCAGATCAGACGTTGATGTCTGTTGATTGAGACTCACCCACACTGGAGCTCAGGTCTCCATTCTCAGAATCAGGCCCGTTGTGGGTGTTACTGCCGTGGTAGCTGCTCATCACCTCCAGCTTGATCTTCTTCACCTTCATGGCCTCTGCGATGGCGGCATTGGTGGCGGCAGCTGCTGCTGCAGCTGCAGCTGTGAGGCCTAAAGCAGGACGACACAAACATGGAGACACTTCATCACAAGGGTTCAGTACAAATGGGCTCAAAACACAGGTGTGGCTAATAAATAATAATTTCAGTATCATTCTATTCTACGACCTCATGAGAGAGAAGAGACAGACGTAGGAGTTCAAAACTATTTATTTATCTTTAGTCACCCTGAAATAGTGTAATTGTTCATTTAAGTAGTGTTTTGAATAACTTTAAAGGGCACCTATGATAAAAATTATCTTATTGAAGCTGTTTCGACAGAACTGTGTGTATGTATTTTGTGACCATAGTCATATTGGAGTGATATAAAGTCAATAAGTCTCTTTTTTATTTCCTGATCTTAAAATAGGATCCAAATCCCTTCCATTTTGAGGCCCACCGCAACGTGACGTAGGAGTGCGGTTTCCACGCCCACCAAATAGACTGACAGCCACATATTAACATGTCTCCAAATTAAGGCGTATAATCATATCAACAAGACAGGACATGCGCAAAGCAGTTAGGATTAAAAGATCTGTTTGGCTTATTGTAATTATCAATCATCATCAAATGTGATCAAGAAGGAGTTTTACAAGTTTAAAATGTTTTTAAGACAGTGCAGGTTTGTAATGAATTACAGCGATTTTACCGTCTTTATTACCACAGCCACATGTTAGTGCAATTACAAAAGAAAATGCTTCAATCCCAGTTTGTGGACATTTATTTTGCACAATAACATAACGGGTATCCATACAGCAGTGAATATTAACATTTATCCTGTCACAATTGCGTGCAAAAAGAGTGCAAAGTTAAACGCGTGTATTGTACTGACCTTGTGTGTGACTCATCGGTCTTATCGACTCAATAACACAACAAACTCAATAAATAATCATTGGTAAAGTTCTTACTGTTGTACTTCTCAAATGTTACGTGAGATCTGCTTCTTTAATGTCTGTCACTGTACTGCTTATCTGATGCAGCCGAGGCAGAGATTGAAGCACACTCTGACAGGCACGTGGGAATGGTGGGCGGGGAGAACTGGCGGGCACAGGCAACCAAAACAGCTACATAGTGTTTAGGGCAGAAAATGCAAACTTCTGAAAGGTATAATAAATAATCTGGTGAGTGTTTTGAGCTCAAATTTTACAGACACAAAAGACTTATCTTAAATCTTGAAAAAGGAGTAAAATAGGTGCCCTTTGATGATTTAATAATGTAGATGACAAAAAACCACAACTATATTTAACATTTTGATACAATTAGTAATACTTTAAATTTAAAATGAAAACTAAATAGCAATAATAACCAATTGAAAAATAAAGCAGTTGCTCAGTACTTAAACAATCCTGTTATAAAATAGATTTATTATTCAAAATGATGTTCTTTTTATTACATTAATCAACGCTAAAAAAACATTTTTTATTTTTTTTTACAAACAAACTAAATAAAATATATGCACACCTAATCGCACTAATAATGTTTACTTAAGATTATATTAATCTATTTTGACCCATTTAATGCGTCCATGATGAATTAAATAATAATAATAATAATAATAATCATCATCATCATCATCATCATCATCATCATCATCATCATCATCACCACCAAATCAATAATTATGATACATTTTTGAAATGCTACAATTAGATAAAATGATAATGTATTTCCATCTTAAGATTTTCTAAAACATTTACATGTGACATCTTCAAAATATTTTTTACAGAAACCTACATAACGATCGAAACAATATATAAAAAATCCTTAGTACCCATTTCAGTTGATTTATTTAACAATAGTTTATCTTAATTAGCATTATACTTATATTGTAACTGCTGTATTTTGTATTGTTGTTACTGTTTTTATGGAACGTCTCCGGAAATATGGTGATGCCCATATTTCCATATTTTTGTTCATAAAAAATTTTCTGTCAAGGAGAATAAAGTTTACTACTACTACTACTACATAAAAATTAGAGGTGCACAATTAAATGTCAAATATCAATCCTTTTTTCATATACTGTATAAAATAACATTTTTCTCTCAGATTACAGATTACAAAGGCCTCTAAGAAGGCCTTTACCTCAGAATAAGGGTGTCAAACTGCTTCACTATCTAGTTAACTGTTCAACCCATCATTAGCCTGACAGAGTCATGCAGGGTGTCTGAACTCGACTAAATCATTTGAATCCTCTCACCAACACAAGCTTTGCTGTTTTTGATTACACCGCTGGCCCCATTGGACTGATGCAATGCTTTCTGCTAGAAGCCTCACTGTCATGAACGTCTTCCCTGATTTCCGTCTCTTTCTCTCTCTAAATGCAAAGATGACGCTGTTGAGCTTTGATGCTGACAGATGGAGTCGCGAGAACATATCAGAGCTGACACGATGCCACGGTTTCTGTTTGTAAATAAACGGGTGGCAATGTACGACAAAGTGAAAACAAACAGTCGGAAACAATGGGAAACGTTCAAATCACACACACAAACATACGCACATTAAACAACATCATCTCACTCCCAATCCGTTGTCATATGCAGGGATGCTGCAATTCTTTTGGCTCCTGTGGCAATAATATTTTCTCCATTGTTTGATTTGTTTTAGTTAGACCTGGCAGACGAATCAGGTTAAACAAATTCAATGTTTATTGCCATACTTTTAAATTTGACTAGATGAAAAAAGGTAAAACGTTTTCTAAAATGGTGTTTTAATGTTGTTATGTAAATGAGACAATATTTAACTTCTTAACTGTCAGACCCACTCTTTAAACAAAGATGTGAAAATGACATAAATACAACTTAAATTATTGCCAATTATTTTTTAGGATTTTCAGACTGTAGCTGAAGGGGTAACAAGTTTAGAAAGTTAAATAAGTTTAATGTAGTTTAATTTAACAACTTTTATGTGTCTTCAAATAATTATATATTTAAAAATATATATTACATAATATTCTGTGCGTATTTTCACACTTTACTTTTTTTTACTTTTCACAATATTTGTAAAGCAGAAATCAATTCCTAAAGAATTATGAGCAGTTTGTTAATATTAAATTTGAGTTTAGTCTCTAAAACATCTTCTTAACATCCGTTTCAACATAATAATTAAACCATGTTCAAATCATGATTTCTCTAAATATAGAGAAGGAATTTTATCTTTTGAGTTTTCTAACTTTTTTGTGATTTTACATGTGATGAGAATCCTTGTTACAGATTAATAACCATTTCTTAGTAATATTTATCAAAAATCACCAAAGATGAAAACTAGAAATTAAGCTTATATATAGTTTTTTTTTGTTTGTTTATTTAAGTTTAGACAACAAAATTATAGTTAAAAAATGTAGTCGTAAATAGTCCCACAGGTTGTAGACTGACAGAAAATGGGTTATAATTGATATAATTTGGCGAAAATTCGTAACTAATTGATTTAGTGGTTACTTCGTATTAGTTTGAACAATCTCATTCGTACATTTTAGTACAATTTGCTCATTAGTAATGTCATTAGTCATTAGTTTTGTTTTTTTTTAAAACAAGTTTTTATATGAATGAAAATGTATGAATTTGCACAAATTAGCCACTTTTCTGAAAATATGCAAAATAGTTACTTTCCTCAAGAGATCAGGCTGTTTTTAATCTTATTCTTATTATTCTTCCTACTGTACATAACAAACAAATAACAAACAAACAGAAAACAAACTGTGGTAAAATATGTATTCAGAAGTTTTAGGGCACATGCCCTCTAAAGTGTTTTTTTTCCTTCAGCTGTTGTAAAAAAAAAAAAAAAAAAAACGCTGTGTTTTTAAAAGCATGAGGCATAACAAGGCTCGTAGTTTGTGTGTTTTAAGTAAAACATTGATCACTCAAAGTTTGGAAACAGTTGGAGAAGTGTTCACCACTCAGAGAGTTGAAGAAGTGCTCACGGCTGAGCGTAATTGAAAGAGAACTGGTGTTTTTAGCTGTGCAAAAACACATTTGTGGACACACGTCCTTACACCTTTTCAACAATATTATGTCCTGATTAGATTAGGATTATTTATTTATTTTTTTTTACCAATATAAAGGGTTAATTAAATCTCTACTAATTTTACACATTTCTAGCAGAAAAATGTGAACATTGGAATAAAGTTGAAAAATGTGAACAATGAAATAAAGTCGAACAATCTGAACGATGTAGTTGTGGTTGTTTGTTCATTTGAGTTTTGTTCATAATTTGAATCTGTCTTTATATTGGTATAGACCTTTAACACTTAGCAAAGAGACAACCAATAAAAAAATAGCCTTTAGACTAATTTGAGTATTTTTACGTTTCTGAAGAATGCTGACTAAAGTACTTAAGTACTTACCATTGTTGTGATTTAAATTTTATTTATTTATTTATTTATTTTTTCAGGTTCAACAAATTTTGAGAAGAAGGTCTTTTAAAATATGTGTACATGCAGACACAAACTGATAAGGTGCGACAAAAGAAATTCTTAAATGTGTACTTACATGTGTTCTTTGGATTAGACTAAAAAAAAAAGAGGCCAAAATATCAAAATTTGACAGGTGGCAGAGAAAAACTATGTTTTTTTCTGCTGTGTTTCACCTTAAACTCCCTATTCTGACTTCAAACCCATTGTCATTGGCTCTGAATGAACAGAGACGCTGCGATTCAAAGTCTTTTGGCTCCAGTGGCAATAATAATCTTTTTTCCATTGTTTGATTTGTTTAAAAGGAGCGCAGTGGAGAGACGGGGAGATTGGATAAAGAACTGACTCGCCGTCATTTACTCTTTTTCAATGACAAAACACCTGAAAGACTTGCAGAAAGTAAAAGGAGGATCCTTGAAAGAGACCTTGAGCTCATGAATGAAGATTAATGAAACGATGTGAATGGATGAATCAGACTGAGGTTTTTTTTTCATCTGTGTTCAGAGAATCCTGTGATCTCTGTCTCATTTTATACATACACTGTACTGAAAATGGTTACAGTACAATAGACTCATTTATCAGATTGGGAGGCAAAGTGGATTCTGGGA